ATGCCTTTTTTCTCCCTCCCTGAACTTCCCTCAAGTAACACCCTCTTCATCTAACTATTAAGGTAGCGCGACTCATGTTGCGAATGACCGCAGTCACCAATTCCTGTTATGTGTCTTACCCACATATGTCTGATCTTTGAATTGTGTGTGCTGAAACTGAATTTCATTTCTCTGTATGTCCTGCACATGTGGAGAATATGACAATAAATGACTTTGAATCTTTGAAATGTTTTAGATTCTGTTAGATCCAAACTACACTGAATGCAAAATTAACGGTATTTATGTGTTTATAATAGGTTTTAGGATGCGCGTCACTAGTATAGTGAAGATGTGATGATTTATTGCTGTGGTGACTGGGTTTCCGGGTCCAGACTTAAGTATATCAATGTTTTGGGGCTTGGCAGGACAGACCGTGTTTCATCTTCAGCATCCCAAAGAACTCCTGCTAGTAAGGTCTTCTTGTTTGTAGCTGCATCCTGACAGAGGTGGAGACAGCAGGGCTCAGGTGGTGGTGGTGCAATCATGGGCATATGCGGGACGGTGCCATGTGCAGCTTCAGTATCACCAACCATAAGCTCTGGCTGACTCATAGTTAAAAGCAAGAGGCGCATATATTTAGAGACGTTGTATGCTCCTGCACGGCCCTTGGTCTTAAGCTCGCTTGTACAGTGCCATTCAGACTCAGAGGACTCCAAAGTGCTTTACACTAGAGCTGAAACGATTCCTCGAGTACCTCGAATAATTCAAGTACAAAAAATTCTCGAGTCAAATTCTCTGCCACGAAGCTTCGTTTAATTCATGTTTAATTAATTCATGGCTTTGCAATCACCCGTGGTCATGTTTCACCCGGACCAAAATAAGTGACGCACATACGCACGGCACTGAATGCACACGCGAGTAGCGAACGCAACTTATCTTTCTCTTAAGCCATGGCGGACAATGTGGACCCTGGTGGAGTGCGAAAAAGACAGAAAATGTCAAAGGTGTGGGACCATTTTTCACGTCGTAAGGCGGAAAACGTAGTCCAGTGTAAATACTGTAAAATGGATTTAGCCCACCACACCATATTCCTCGATGCTGCAGCACCTGACCAGGAAACATCCACATGTAAATGTCACTTCTGCAAGCGGACTCGGAGCCTCTACAAGATAATGCATTTTAGCCTGTATTTCTATATATTCTGCAGACACTGTGCGACTTTTTCATTTGTAGCACTCAGTTTCAGCTCACACCGTACGTCTGGTAGCAACACATCGGACTTAAAATGTGCTAAAAATAGCAGTTTTTACAACACGTCAGACTTTTTACTGTGTTGTTATTGATGTCCGTTGTTCCTCAGGATTGCTGCAGAAGGACACGGGTATTTATGAGAGAAAAACCAAAGAAAGTAAATAAATGTTTTGTGATCAGTATAATTTGACATAACCACGGCAAACATGCTTTCGACAATCCTTGTTAGTGTGAGACAAAAAAAAGTGTAGAAATTAAAACGGACGTGTGTTAATAGGGAAACAGCTGGCGAGTCATGTTTGCGCATGCGCCGTGAGCGGTTCTGGTGCTGTTTGGGCCGCAGCCGCTCGCATTTGTTTACTGTGAAGTAAAGTTGAAGTGCTGAAGTTTTGAAAACTAATTTTGAATAAAACTTGAAGAATAACTGGCAATTGCTTTCTCATTTCAAGAGGTCTTTCATATTTTATAACTTGCTATTTGATATAATGGTTTAAAAATGCAAAAGAGTAATTTATTAGAGTACTCGATTACAAAAACATTCGATAGCTGCAGCCCTACTTTACACTGCAGTGTGTCATTCACCCATTCACACACGTTAGTGGTGATGAGCTACACTTTAGCCACAGCTGCCCTGGGGCTCGCTGGCATTAACCACCACCAGCAGGCAAGGTGGGTTTAGTGTCTTGCCCAAGGACACAATAGTAGAATTCTCTGGCAGAAGCCAGGATTGAACCTACAACCCCCAAAATAAGAGCATGCCTGCAAACGTGGATGTGATGAAATGACGTTTAAAGATGTCGAACACTAATACATTTGCAGTGTTCTCTAGTGGGAACGAATGCCTTGTAAGTCGTACTCTGGTGGAAAAAAGCTTCCCACATCGCAGATGAGCTTCTGAGGTCAGTTTTTCTGACATTTGGACATCTCACCTCAGACCGGATAGCAGCACTGTGACTCATCCACTCACTTGCAAAGTGGATGTTTTCTCAACAAATAACACAAACCTGGGGGAGTTCCGCTGTGTGGAGGAGTTGCCAGCGCTAACGGTTCGTTTCTACAAGCCCGGATGCTAGACCAACAACAGCCTTCTCCGTCGTGAGTCCATGAATGTTAGAGATCCTAGAGTTTCACCGTCTAGCTAACGCAGGAGATAGGTGTAGGAGACTATTTTCATGTTCAGCCTGTGTGAAAAACTCACAATGACCGATTATAATCAGAAATAAATAATTAGAAAAGTTTTTTTGTGTGTTCCACACATAACTGTACAATGTCAAATGAATTGTTTTTCTGATTGTTGATGAAAACTTAAATACTAAATCGAGGGATTGCACAGCCCCAACCTCCCTCTGAGAGGAACATCATCAGCTGCAGAGAATGCTCTGAAATGCTCTTTTCACGTTTTAAGAGCCAAAAGAAACATGAGATATCTCCGTAGGTTCTGCCTTTCATCAGCAACGTTCAATATCACTGTGGCTGGTGTTGCGTTAAAACGCCCCCCCGTGCTGCTGAGGCTGTCAGCAAAGGTTCCCGTCCGACCGTCTATCAAAGACAACCTCATTTATCGTCTGAGGCTGCCTCGGTGACACTAGACACGAGTGGGTCGATGCAGAGCTGTGAATATTTTATGGGATGGATCGTGTATTTGGCTGGTACCTGAATGTATTTGAGCACAAGAACACACTCGACTCCACCGAGTGAGCGCTACGTTGTGGTAAAACGGATTTCAGGTTGCAGGTTTGAATCGGTGGATTTGAAACCTCTCCATGAACCCCCGAGCTGACCTGAGAGTGTGCTGTACTCTACTCTGAGACAGTTTAAGGCCGGTGAGATAGAAATAATAAAGCATTATTTTCAGTGGCGTTGGGATTTCCTGTACTCTTGAGTTTTACAGGGTTGGGTTTTGCTCTTTTTTGTGGATGGAGAGAGTTTGAGGACAAATCTCAGCTACTCCTCACCATTATGGGACTTGGCTGGTTTCTGTTAGCACATCATGGTACCACACTTCTATTTTCTTAAGGGCCAGGAATCTGTTACACACACGTCTATTTCATCTCTCATGTGGAGTCTTGGGCAAAACCGTGCCATCACGCCCGAAATAGGATCTGATTTATTCCACAAAGGTCAGATTTCAACCACAGGAGAAGAGTGGGCCGGCTGTTTAGAAGATCAGAACAAGATCATTTCTTGTTTCAGACTTTCTTTCTGACCATCGTAGCTGGAATAAGAAAAGGCACGTCTTCAGTATATGGAGGTTTTGTCAAAAGACTTTCTGTCTTAAAGCATCAGCATCTTCTCACATTAGCATCAACCGAGTGGACTTTAAATTCACCACAACTAAAAACAGACTCTTAATGGCTCGGTTTAGCCATCATCATTATTATGTCTGTCATTTGTTATCCGTTTCATATTTCATCTGTTGTTTTTTTTTAATTGCCCCTCGGGGATAAATAACGGTTTTCTGATTCGGATCATGTTGGTAATTCTTTTCTTTCTGAAACAAATACTCTTTAGTATCTTTGGAAACCGTGGATGTGAGACGTGACCCCACCACGATGTGATCTGCAAGCAGCTAACGTTTGTTTTCAGAAGACTTTATCTAACGAAAAAGAAAAGTGAATGTGAACTAATTGTTCATGAGGGTGTAAGTCTGGCTCAGAATTGTGAAGTGGTGAAATTTAATAAATTCACCTTTAAACTACTTCTACTGCAAGAAGTCTTAATCCACAAAAGACAACACGGCTAAAAATAGGCACAGAAGGATTGAGGGTTTAAAACGAGAACCAGATGAATTAACATGAATAATAATGGTGATAGCATTATGTTGTTAATGGCATTTACATGGCTGATGGCCAGAAATGTGAAGAAGACTTCTGGGTCTACTGGAACGGCTGATGGGACCAATGGCTTCAAAGCTCTAAAGTACCTGAGCACTAAATGAAAGAAACTTGCAACACCAATAATAACTGTTACAACAGCAGAATATAAACACAACCAGTCATAACAGCCATGCTACTAATTTGATCCATTTATGACTAATGCTTCAGTGTTTGCTTTCAAAATTCAGATGGATCTCTGCAGATCAGCTGATGACCCTTAGCAGGGTCCAAGCCCAGACTTTGGGAAGCACCAATGGGTTCATTTGGGTTTTTTTGGCTTTGAGCAAATGAGAGCAACGACCTGTTGTATTGAGTTTAAAGTTTGACTTGAAGGCACTGACATAGATTTGCAATAAAGTACCATTTTCCTATATATACTATTCTACATACTTAATTTTAATGTTAAATAAATGTTTAGCTAATTGACAAAATCACATTAATTCATTACTTTCTAAAGTAAATTCAAGAACCGGGTTTCTGTAGCAGCAGGTCATCCTTTACTCAACCTGCAAAGCAACCCTTGGTCAACATGACGATCCTCCTATCTTAGCTCACGGTGACATCTTTTACACGACTGCATCCAATAAACTTCATTAACGCAATGTCATTCATCACTCAGCAACCCGTTTGGCCACTGGTGCCCCTTTCGCTACTCACCATTGTGATCTGTACTCACTCGTTAGTGTGCCTACACAGTGTATACGGATTAGTACATGGATTAACACATACGTAGTACATAAAGTGCACGTCGACATCCCAACACACGTGTCCGTCTTACTGATATATGTTAAAGAAGTAAAAGCAGCAAACACTCATCCCTGAGGAACGCCAGGTGAACTTGAACAAGGCATGGGCTTGCATCAGTACTAAATCTTCTGTTCAGTTGGTCTTTACCTTTGGTAGGGCATACTTGGGGAACCTCATCTGGACAAACTCATTACGCTGATAAGAAACATAGTGCTTGGTGCGATTCCCCGAGGTGACCTATGGAGTGGAAAAAATACACAAAATTACTGTCGATCATATCATAGGATAAACATTTAGGATAAAGGACAGAGTAGCTGATATCAGAGCTGTTAGAACATTCAGAATAAAATCAATAGAAACAGGTGAATGTGCACGTTTGAATCCTAGCTGCAGCACTTCTGAGGAGATTTAGCATGTTCTCTCCTTGCATGCATGGATATTCTCTGACTACTATGGTTTCCTCTCACACAAAAAGCATGCAGGTATGTGGGCACTTCTAAATGATCCCTAGGTAGGAGTGAGTTGGTGTGCATCAAAGTCAGAGACTTGTCCAGCATGTCCCCAACCTCCCACTCTGAGACTGACGGAAACTCCAGCTCCCCGCAACCCCACTTAAATAAAAACATTTCAAAAATCTAAAAAATGTGACCTTTTTCAAACAGAGAAAGGAAAATTCAAGGTGAATCACAACTGGCCATTTTATTTATTTGTGTTGTTGCTGGTGACTCACGTTGCTCTGACAGAAAAATAAAAAATGAAACCCTCCCACAGCTTGCAGAGACCTTGGCATGCGCCTCCCAAGTAAGAGACAGAAAACTCACGAGGCACCAAACCTGAATGCACACGCGGTTATGGCTATGACTTTATGAATGTGACAGCGCAGATGACTGACAGTGAGGTAAAACCGAAGCTGAACATGTCAAATCCAAAGTGACGGGTTCAGATACCAATCACCTTCCTACACACCACCTGTCATGCTTTTCTTGTAAGGTGAGCTGTGCTAACCGTTCCAAGCTGCCTTCAACATCACAGGATTTCTGGAATTCTGCTTTGAGCCGTGACAAAATAGACGGGTCTCATTTGCTTTTTACAGTTTGGATTTTTGTCACCAGAGCTCAGGCTGAGCTGTGATCAAGTACAGCCATACTTTAAAATGCTTAAAGTTGATAAAAAGGTGATAAAAAATGAATTTTTCATAACAAAAAGCCATAAAAGGATATGTTATTGATTGTATTTTCATAAAGAACCACTTCTGAGAAACAGCTGGAAAGCAGACACGATGGTGTGTGTGTGTGCGTGCGTGTGTGTGTGTGTGTGTGTGTGTGTGTGTGTGTGTGTGTGTGTGTGTGTGTACTAACGCTCTAGTCTCAGCTCCGTGTGCGTCCGCAGCATCAGATAAGACACCCCAAGGACCGAGGAGATTTCATCAAGCGTGTCTAAATACACTTCCTTCAAAAGTAGGTTATAAAGACAGTGATGCTAGATGCCACTTGGAAGTTTTAAACATGCTATTTGAGCGTAACCATAGCGATACACACAGGTAAAGGATTGTTTGAGTTTTACAAAGCCAGATTATGTTAACCATCATTTTTAAGATGCTTTACAGACTGAAACGTGCACCTGGCTGGTTTGGTTAAACAATGTCAGGGTCTCGTTCATGTGAGATGGACTGACAGATGGGGGCTAGGTCTTCTGTGATGGAGGTGATGCCCCAGCTTGTCAGGTGGAGGTTTGCAGCTCCAACCCTTACCTACGGTAAAGAGATTTGGATTGTGACCAAAAAGGGCCGCGGTTAGAGGTTGGGGTTGGGTTAACAAGTTGATACAAACGGATGAAATGGAGTTCCTTCGTGAGTTGGCTGGGCTCAGTCTTTAAGATAACGATAAGAGCAGAAATGTGAAAGGGTCTAAAGAAGCTGTGGTGAACATTACGGTGCACTGATGTTCACCATGACGGGTGGGTCAGTGTTACCCTGGGATGGCAGATCCGAGGACGGGTGTGCAGAAATGAACAGGATAAATGTCAGCGTTCATGATCGAATCGAATCATTTGAACAGCTTTTCAAAGTGACTGATGAGAGCTCCGAGTCCTTGTAGAGAACTGTTCATCACTTTGTTTCTAGTTGAGGTAAACGGTTCTCGAATGAATGACTCCCTTCAGAGAGTCAGAATCCCATCACTGCTGCCATTACTGTGGGGGTAAAACCATTTATCAGTACTTTTAGAAGACACGAGCACACCGTGTTGTTTATTTAGGGACATTTTAAAAGTACAGTGATCGTTTATCATTTGGGAGCTCGATGGTGCAAACCCAAGCTTAAGCACTTTGTGACAGTATGTTTATGAATTAAATGAACACTTTTACTTACCTGTTTACTTCCTAAATTGGAAGCAGAACCAAAAAGAAGAGTCAGCTGCACAACTAAATAAAGAACTGGCAGGTCATCGTGACTAAAATAGTCACATTTAATGTAAACCTGAATTTGGCCTTACTTCTGGCAGGTTCAAGAAAATAATTAGACGTGGATGCAGGGTTGCCTACAGACACATTTAATAAGGTTCCATGTTAGCCATACCTGGACGGCTTTAGCTGTTTGTTTCTAATTACTGTCCTGCAGGAGGACACCCTAACCCTAACCCAAACTAAGGTACAGAACCAATTCACATTGGTGACCTCACCAGAGTTCACCTGAATTATACCAAGAACCAGGAAGTTAAGCTAAATGAACAAGATGTGAAAACCACTGGTGTTGCTGCACCTAGTCGGAGTGTGTAAGAACAAACGCTCCAGCGTACTTCATGTATAGAGAAATAATGAAGACATGATCGAAGCCAGGGAAGTCCAAACGTTTCAAGCTGAGGGCCAAAATCATGAAGTTAAAACTCCTCACGGGCCGCAAAAATGTATTTTATTAACCTTATTTTATATATTTCATTTGTTCGGCTCAAAAAAGGCCTACAACAGTTATTAAAACATGAATTTACACATCTTTAATTAATGGCATCAGTTTAACATCTTGCAATGCATAATTTCCATGTTAAATTGGAAAGAACCCTTTAAATTGGAGCATAATTAACATAAATCAGCATGTGTTTGAATCATTTTAGGCTTTTTTCAAGTCTAAAATCAGATCCGTGACAGAAAACACACAACACCCCCTGACTGAAGTCCACTGTATCAGCTAGTCTCTTATCTGGATTTTGTCATGTTCTATCCACCTGTATCATTTTATTGGGTGGTTTAAAATGGACCCTATCCACATGGTCCTTTTGGCCTGCTAACCTATAGACTGTGTTCTCCACCTCTGACCCACTTATTGCTGGAGATGGTGAGGGCCAAGGTAAACATCAACTCTGTTGTTGGAACTGACATCTCCAACGATGGATTTTTCTGTCAGGATAAGTTCAGGACACTGGGTCGGCTGGTAGAGCCCCATTACGTCAGATATACTTGTCTTCATTGAAATACCAGAATGCATCGATAGGTTTGGTCCTAATACTTTTGGCTATGAAGGACATCTAGCTCAAACCGGTCTAAAAGCGAACGATAAAGCAAAAAAGTCAGTGAGTCATTTGACTGAGGACGGAGGAGCTCATGTTATATGCATGATAGAGCTTACTACTATTATATGTTTTACTCTATGTCTACGTTTTGGAGCTGTAGCTAAGACCACAGAAGGAGATCTTTACATGTGACATGTTATGAAATGACAATAAATACAAATCCTTGAATTTAGATGAACTCCCAGTCAAAATAATTTCACTGGGCTGGAAAAGTGTGTATAGAAAACGGATGGATGGAGTAGAGCAGGGATTCCCAAAGTGGGGTGCGCGAGCTGCCGCTAGGGGGTGCGCGAGGTGAAAAGTGTAATGGCTGCGGAGCTCAGAGAAGTCTGTCATATGTCACCATCAGCGTAGAAACTCATTTGTGGGTGGGCCAAAGAAAAAGTAAGCGGGCCCAATAAATGTAATTGAAAACAAGTATATTTTTGCGCGCGCGCGTGTCCTCCACATGATGTGCCCTAGCTTCATAATAACAATGCGCCGAGCTTCAGCACTCTGGCCTGCGCACGCCGATATGTTCCGTATTTGATCATTTTTAACGGTGTTGGAGGAATCTGAAGGTGGTGAGTCATTCTGGCAGATTGTAATTAACACCTGTCTCATGCAGGTGTTCTGACATTGTAAACCTCACACACAGAACATTGTGGATGTAACTAAATAACAAGAAATGATTCCCATTCAGGCTATTAACAGCGCGCTGAAGATCTGAAGTTCAGAGTGCGTCTGTCAGAGGTCAGACGTGTTCCGGCTGAACCACGGCTCACGGGTGCACAAGTGAGCACATCTGGGCTGGGCAGAAGAAATTTTACAAGATTGGTTTAAATAGCGCCGATAACGAGACGCGGTGACTTGAGCGGCTGTGCCGCGCGTGCGCGTGCGCGCACACACACACACAGATTCAATAAGCTCACACGCTGCTTTAACTCCGGCGCGCCGTCAGACTGAAGGCAGAAATGAGCGCTGCCTCCACCGTGATAAAAACTTTTAAGAGGTTATTTTTCATTCAAGGTCAAATTAAGATATTAGCTTCTGGGATGAGTCGGGTCCGCTCCAGCCAGTGACTCCTCATGAACCTGACCACAAGTCCTGTTACTGCAGCATTTGTTATTCCAGTCAGCATGACAGCGGATCGCAGATTCAGCCACACCATAAAACAGCAATAAGTCGGTCTGAGGCAAAAGTGAACATCATGGCTATATCTTGTCCCCTATTGACATTTGATTACGCACGAGTAGGTGATCAGTTCAGGTTTACGCAGAGCAGAAGGAAGGAGAGCGCTCTGGCTGCACAGGTTAAACATTCCTACTTTAAGAAAACCGTTAAATTGCATTGTTTATGTGCTACCTGGGCACTCTAAATATTTATTTAAAATTAAATCAACGGAAA